AAATGGGCCAGGAATGCTATTTTATAGGGGTGGTCAGAGAGCACCTCTATGAGGAAGTTGCATTTGAGCAAAGGACTGAATGAAGCAAGGGAGCCAGCCATGGAACTAGGGAGGGGACTGTTTCAGTCAGAGAAAGCAGCAAGCACAAAGGCCCTGAAGTGGGACCATGCTCGGTCTGTTCAAAGACTCACAAGGAGGCCAGTATGGTCAGAGTGGAATGAAGGAAGGTGGGAATGGTGGGAGTTGAGGTTGAAGACACAGCCTGAGGCTCGATCATACAGACTCTTCAGTTTAGGATATTTTCTTAATGTAAGGTTGAGCTAAGCCCAGGTATCCTCTGAATACTGGGTACCAGCCACTGTGGTCAAGTCAGGCCAAAGATAGATGGGGTGATTTGAAATGGAGATTGGATTCTGGATGCAGCCACAGCAACCAGTTCATACAAAACACTGGGGTCCTGTCAAAACCTGAGGTAGAATCCAGGGATGTGACTCAAGAGTCCAGTGGGGGGTGGGAGGCCTTGTGGCCTGGAAGCAGTCTGAAGCCAGGGCCAGCTCCTGTGGCCACAAGCCAGGCACTGCAGCAAGCCTGTCCTAGGAAACAAAAGGCCTCTTCTCCAGCAGGATTATGCTTGGGATCGAGGGATCCTGCCCACTTTCATTTCTATTGTAGAGCCGCGGTACAAAAGGAAAATCCTCCTCTCAGACTCTCAAGGCACAGTCTGGCCCAGTCCAACAAAAGAAATCAGGGACTGAAGGGGTAGGGGCGGCATCTCTGATGGGAATTACCTGCTGAGTCTCTGCTTGACATTCTATCCCAAACCCTGTCCTTCTGACTCCATGCCTTTAGCCTTCCTGTCTGTGCTGGCTTTCCAGGAAGGCTTATTTGGAATGTCTTCCACTCCCATCCTAGCGGGTTCAGCAGATCCTGAATTCATGTGCTCCAGTTCCTTCTGGAAACCCAGGGGCACACAGAATCCCCAGTTGAGTTCCTGAGGTCTGGGGATGGCCACTGAGGGCAGCTCATCCTGGTAAACTTCTGCCATAAAGACTGAGAGGTGTCTCAGGAATCAGCCTATGAGCATTCTGGACTTCCATGTAATACATAGTACCCACTGCTCCTGCTACAAAAATTGTATTGTGGGTGGTACTTTGCAGTTGCAGAACCTCTCAAAACAAAACTGAGGTATAATTCACATACTATGAAATGTATCCTTTTAAGTGTAAACCTCTGTGGTTTTTTAGTATAGTCACAACATTGTGCAACCATCACTACTATCTAATTCCAGAATACTCTCACCACCCCAAAAAGAAATGTAGTACCCTTTAGTAGTCTCTCCACATTCCCCCTTTTCCCTAATCCCTGACAACCCACTAATCTTCTTTGTCTATATGGGTTTGATTATTCTGGACATTTCATTTAAGTCAAAGCATACAGCATGTGGCCTTTTGTGTCTTGCTTGTGATGTGTGTCAATACCTCATTCCTTTTTATGGCTGAATAATGTTTCATGGTATGAATGTATCGCATTTTATTTGTAAGTTCATCAGTTGATGGACATTTGGGTTGTTTACATTTCTTGGCTATTCTGAATAATATTGCTGTGAACATTGGTGTACCAGTTTTTATGTGGATACTGCCAGGTAATAGGCTAACTCTGTGTTTAACTTTTTTGAGAAACTGTCAAACTGTTTTCTATAGTGGCAGTACCATTTTTCATTTCCATCTGCAATGCATGAGAGTTCCAATTTCTCCACATCCTCACCAACATTTTTCTTTTCTCTCTCTCTCTCTTTTTTTTTTTAGAGACAAGGTCTCACTCTCTCTCAGGCTGGAGTGCAGTGCAGTGGGGAGATCATAGCTCACTGGAGACTCAAACTCCTGGGCTCAAGCAATCTCTTGCCTTAACCTTCCAAGTAGCTCGGACAACAGGCAAGTACCACCATGCCTGGCTAATTTTTAATTTTTTGTAGAGACAGAGTCTCACTATGTTCCCCAGACTGGTCTCTAATTCCTGGCCTTAAGCTGTGCTCTCACCTTAGCCTCCAAAAGCTCTGGGATTGATTTTAAACTATCCTGGTGAGTGTGAAATAATATCTCACTGTGGTTTTGATTTGCATTTCCTTAATGACTAATGATGTTGAACATCTGTTTATTTGCTTATTGTCCATTTGTAGATCTGCTTTGAGTTAATGTCTATTTGGCTTATTTGCTCATTATTTAATTGGATTATTTGTCTTTTTATTGTTGCATTGTAAGTGTTCTCTATGAAATCTGGATATGCTAACCAGATATATGATTTGCAAATATTTTCGCCCATTCTGTCAGCTGTCATTTTACTTTCTTGGTAGTGTCCTTTGAAGCACAAACATTTTAAATTTTTATAATGTATCTACTTATTCTTTTGTTGTTTGTGATTTGGGGTGTCATATCTAAGGAACTGCTACCTAATCCAAGGTCACAAAGATTTACATTTGTTTTCTTCTAAGAATTTTGTAGTTTTAGCTCTTGCATTTATGCCTTCAATCCATTTTGAAGTAATTTTTTGTATATGGTGTGAGGTAGGGGTCCAAATTCATTCTTTTGCATAAGAGTATCCAGTTGTCCCAGCATCATTTGTTGAAAAGACTATTCTTTTCCCCATTGAGTTGTCTTGACACCCTTGTCAAAATTCAATTGACACACATGCATTTTTAAAGATGTTGGTCTCTCACTTCATGTGAATTAGCTTGTTGAGATCAAAATTATCCTATGGCCTCACATGGCCAGCATGACTAATGGCCCTGGCACAGAGTCAATGCGTAATACATGTTGACTTTAGTCAAGTTGAATAAGCCTAGGAGATAGACACATCCAGACCCTCTTTGAGCCTTTACTGTGTTCAGAGAGCCCCATAGGATGGAGAGATGTGATTTTTCTCTCTGGCCCCTGCTCTGCCCCTGACCCTATTGAGCATGACCATTTCTACCAAGTACATTTCTGATTTATCCTGTAGTTGTGATTCTGTGTCTGCCTCCTGGGGACTCAGCAAGCAAGCAAGCCTTAGTTCCTCTTTAGACCTGAGATATTTGCTCAAAAGCTCTGATCCACATCCTTGGTAGGGATACACAGTGCTGCAGGCACAGATGTACCCAGATGCTGTGTACACCTCTCTGCGGGTTCCTGGGGTGGCCTTTTATGTGCAACCTTGTATGTACACGGGCGCTTTCCAGCATTCCCAGACCTTGCCTTGACAATACAATGTGACAACTTGAAAGATATGCTTGCAAAGTAAAACCTTCTAGTACTCCCATTCCCCAGAACAAGTGTTTTCATTCTGGTTTGGTTCTTTCTAACTATTTGCCGCATGCAGACATGTTCTCTTACATTTGCCAATATAGTGCAAATATGATTTTGTGACTTGATCTTTTTTACCTTGTGGTCATAAATATTTTCCATACCTCTTACGTGGCCCTCATGTTACATAGTTGTAAGACTTCATTGGGTTAATATGCCAATCCTTTCTTTGTTGAACATTTAGCCTCCCTTCCCCCTCCTCCTGCTTTTAAGAAGCAGATTTTAAAAAGCAAAAATAGATACAAGCCAGACCCCACTGGCCAGAATTCAGATATACCCTGCAAGGCTTGGTGGTTACCGGCTGAACGGACACCAAATGTCTGACTAAACTCTTTCAGAGAAGAGTGCATATGAAAAGCCATCCGTTTGAGGACAACCTGGGTAACTTGGTGAGACCTCACTCTATAATAAATCCAAAAATTAGCCGGGTGTGATAGCGCCTGTAGTTCCAGCTTCTTGGAAGGCTAAGGTGGAAGGATCGTCTGAGTCCAGCAGGTTGACGCAGGGGTGGCAGTGAGCGTGCCACTGCACTCCAGCCTGGGCCACTGCATTCCAGCCTGGGCAATGGAGTGAGACTCCAACTCAAAAAAGAAGAAAATTTTTAAAAAAAGGCAACTGAGACCTCGGTGTCTCCATGAAGTGTGAGATTAAGTGTTTTGCTCGTTTGGTGTAAAGTGTTACAATTTCTAGTAAAGTCATCAGGATCGCTAGTCGTTAAATTTGTGAATCATGAACTCTGAGCTGCATGGAAAAAGAGGAAGAAGCTCCCCCACCAGCAAACTAGAGTCCCAGAAAAAGAGAGGTGGGAAAGGCTAGCCGAACGCATTCCCATGGGAAAGGGAGCACTGCCCATAATTTCCCTTGGTATCTCAGAAGGATCATTTGGTGCTTTGAAGAAAACCTTGAATGACACAGAAGTTTCCACTGTGAATCTTGTCGCATCCTGCATCCAGAATCATGACCTGACCCTGTGTGCAGAGCCGGGACCAGATCCTGGAGAAAGAAATCCAGGGAGACGAAAGAATACACCTCCCTACTCCCGGGGTATTCTTCCGGATGCAGAGAGCAAAACCTCACACGGAAAGATGCCCTCAGCAGACAGTGAAACTCACTGTATAGGCCCGTGTTCCCTGCGACTTCTTTATCTGCGACCCCCGGGTCCCCACGCCCTGCCAAGCTCTCTCCCTGCGCGGGGGCTGCGGGGAGGCTGGGGGAGCCCCCAAGAGCAACCATTGTGCCCGGGCAATTAAACAAGAATGCTCCGAGTTGACAGTTCCACTGTGAAAGTTTTCAAATAGTGTTTGGAATGTTTACATAATCGTTCAAAAGAGGCTTTTTCAATGTACCTGTTTACACTCTTTCCTTTTGGAAATTCTTTCAGCAATCAGGCCGTGGAGGGCTCTCAGCCTGCACTCGCCGCCCTTGATTGCCGCGGGAGGAATGAAAGGCCCGGCCGCGAATCGCTGGGAAAACATTCCCTAACAAACGCCCTCTAATGAGGGGGCGCCGCTTTGGCAGCAGCGGCGGCGGGGGTGGGGGGCTCCAGGAGCAGAGGGGAGGAGGCGGGGGCCGGAGAGCGGCCCGGCGGGTTTTGTGGCGCGCTCTCCGGCGGAGGGAGAGCAGACCCCGGGTCTTTGTGTGCAAATTTCCCACCGGGGCCAAGCAACTTTCCGCAATTTAATTAAGTGGCTTTAGAGGCGGGAGCCGGCCTAACAAGCTTCTGTTCATGAATGAAAGATTTGTCCCCAGCAGCGGGGGCCGGCTGGAAACCAAGTGGGCAGCAGTTATGGCTGGCTCCGGCCGATTTAACTGCTCGCGCGGCCAGCCGCCGGGAGCGGGCGGGGAAGGCGGCTGCGGGGGCTGGCGGCGGTCCTTCTGGGACGCGTCTCACCTAGCTCGCAGCAAATATGCCATCCATATGCCCAGGATCACAACCGAATCAGCGCCATCAGGCCTGGCAAAGAGGCATTTAAATTGCTAATATTGTACTGGGGAGCGATGACAGAACTGCCAAGGATCAGCTCTGTAGGATCCACAGAGACAAACCTGGGCTGGGGGTGGGGGGGATGAGGAGCTGGTAAGGAGCCGAAGTGAGAAACACTAGAAGCTGGCTATTAGGAGGCACCAGAAGTGGGAATCCTTGGTGGAGAGACGTCAGGAGAAGCCGTGGCAGAAATGCACCCAGGGTGGAGCATGGGAGTTGGTGGGCCACTGGGGCCCCTTTCTCATCCATTATTTCTGAAAAGAGGCCAGCTGGATTTTCCACAAATGCTGCTCTGCTAGAAGGAGGCATCCCCACCCCACCCCCCTCACCTTTGAACAAGACAGGTTTTCTAGAAAGACAAAAAAAAAAAAATAGCGTGCCAGTTGGCTGGAGTGCGGCTGTAACTGTGAAATGTTCCTCTTGTTACAGTTGCTGAGGGACCCTGCCCTTGGTGGTGGTCTGCTGGGCAGGTTTGGGATTGGGGTCTTTCGCAGCCACTTTCCAGTGCAGGGTTCAAAGAGTGTTTTTCTCTGACTGTATTTTTAGAAAAAATTATGATGACAGTTGTTAGGTCTCAGGCAGGCAGGCAGCACATTCCATTACAAAGTTAGCATGAAATCAATATGTAAATAACCCTTTCTAACTGGCAGCTATTTTTGAAGGCAGAACGCACCTGATGTTGCAGGTTTGTTCCAGTTCACTTTAAATACCTCTCTGTCCTCTGAGTCTGTGAATGTGCTCACATTCAAAGGCTCCTTTCCTCCTTGCCACTTGATCTTTGCATCCTCCCAGATAGCGGTGATGCCACCATGAGCTTTGTCCTCAAACCTCCTCCATCATTTAAAAATCAGATTGACAAGACCTGCCCTGGGCTGAGAGTGTTAGTTCCCCTTTGGCACGGTCATTTTTCCAAAGCACGGGTTGCTCCAGGAAGGGCAGGGACTGCAGAAGCCTTGGCCATCAGCAAAAGGAATTAAAGGAGAGAGAAAGCCTGAGAGGCTGAGATCAGGGTTGAATCAGAAATTCAGACAGTCACTGCCAAAATGCATAGAAGTCATTGTCAGGACATAAAAGCTCAGAGGATACTGGCCATGAGAAGAACCAGGTTAGAATCGTGACTGCAGCTCAAGGGGAAAAAACCGGTCTCAAGGTACTCCCGAGTAAGGGTCTGAGACCAGAGGTCTTTGACTATTCTCTCCTCGGTAATGACGATTTTTATTGTTTGATTTTTTTTTAACTAGCTGAGCTATGTGCCTCTGCATTAAAGCAGAAACATTCCCAGAATGTTCCATGTTAGGCATGGATAGTGCCAGAAACCCTTGTGTGGCCTATGGATGGATGTGTGTGTGTGTGTGTGTGTGTGTGTGTGTGTGTGTGTGTGTGTTTGTGTGTGTGTCTGTGTGTTCTGAATTCAAAGGGGTGATGGAGTTGAAGCCGTGGCCTGATAATAATGATTGCTATAAATGTGTCACTACTCTATGAGTTTTTATGTGCTTGAACAGTTCTAGCGTCTTTTTAAATAATTGAGCTGAGGCTGGGCTCGGTGGCTCAGCCTGTAATCCCGCTCTTTGGGAGGCTGAGATAGGTGAATTGCCTGAGCCCATGGGTTCGAGATCCGCCTGGGCAACTTGACGAGACCTCATCTTTACAATAAATCAAAAAATTAGCCGGGTGTGGTAGTGCGCGCCTGTAGTTCCAGCTACTTGGAAGGCTGAGGCGGAGGGATCGCCGGAGCCCAGTAGGTCGAGGCTATGGTGGCCGGGAGCGGCCACTGCACTCCAGTCTGGGTGACAGAGCGAGATTCCGACTTAAAAAAAAATCGACCTGAAATCTGCTTTCCTGTAGTAACTTATATCCTGTAGACTTACACCCAGAGCAAGGCAGATAGTCCTCAAGACAGGTAGTGTCTCACCTAGAGATGTCTCTACTTACCTATTTACTCCCCCTTCTTTGGTGATCAGAGTCCTCTCCCTTAACTAGAGGCCGTCGGTTCCATTTGTTGCCTTCATGTTCTTGCCTTATAATGAGTTTCTGGAAGAAATCAGGATCAGATATTCCTCTCAAGACTTTTCAGTGGAGTCTAACTACAAAAGGACTGTCTCCCTGCAGGAAAAAATGCATTTGGGGTAAGGCTTTAACTTTTTAGTGCACAAAGGTCTGTCTTTTATTGTACAAGGGTGGCCAGGTAAGCTAGAAATTTGACCTGTTCTCTCTGGGCCTAAAAGACAGAGCTATGATTACCACTGAGGATGGGGAGACACCACAGGAAAGTCTTATTTCAGCTTATAGCAGGCATGAAGAAGAATGTTCTAATGAAGAATGACATGCTTTGAGGGATTGTCCCGTATCCTAGAGGTGTCTCAGCAAAGATGGAGGAAAGTGGAAGGCACTCGCCCACAGATTTGAGGGTCTCACCAAATGGCTTCCAAGGTGCCTTCCAACTCTGGATTTTGGTTGTTCATCTCCTTACCCGTGTATTGATGTATGTTAGAACACGGTGCCATTCTAGGCTCTGGGGGGATTCACACTTGGTATGAATAGTGGGAAAGGAAACCTTTTTTTTTTTTTTTAGATTGGGATAAGACACACATAGCAAAATGCATTGTCTTAACCATTTTAAATACACAGTTTAGTGGTATGTTCATATTGTTGTACAGTTATCAACACCATCCATCCCTGAAACTCCCTTCATCTTGCAAAACTGAAACTGCATCCATTAAGCAACAGTCCTAGCCTCTGACAACCACTACTCTACTTTCTATCTCTATCAGTTTGGCTATTTTGGGCACCTCCTATAAGTGAAATCATAAATATTTGTGCTTTTGTGACTGCCTTATTTCACTCGGCGTCGTGTCCTCAAGGCTCATTCATGTTGTAGCATGTGTCAGAATATCCTTCCTTTTTAAGTCTGATTATGTTCCCTTTTATGTATATACCACATTGTGTTTATCCACTCACCTGTCAGTGGACACTGGATTGCTTCTACCTTTTGGTTATTGAGAATAATACTGCTATGGACACAGGTGTACAAATATCTGGTCAAGAACTTGCTTTCAATTCTTTGGGTATATACCCAGAAGTAGAATTGTTGGATCATATGATAGTTCTGTGTTTAATAATCTGAGGAGCCACTTCATTGATTTCTATAGCAGTTGCATTATTTTACACTTCTACCAACGATGTATAATTTCTCCACATCCTCACTAACATTTGTTATTTTCCAGGTTGTTGTTGGGTTTTGTGTGTGTGTGTGTGTGTGTGTGTGTGTGTGTGTGTGTGTGTGTGTGTGTTTGATAGGAGTCATCCTAATAGCTGTGAGATGGCATTTCTTTGTGGTTTTTGATTTGCATTTCCCTAATGAAATGTGTTTCCCTAATAAGCACATTTCCATGAGCTTATTGGCCATCTGTATATATTTTTTAGAGAAATCTATTCAAGTCCTTTGCTCACTATTAAATCAGGTTGGATTTTTTTGTTGTTGATGTTGAGTTATAAGAGTTCTTTATATATTTCAGATATTATATAATTCAGATATTAATCACTTGCCAGATATATAATTTGCAAATTTTTTCCATTCTGTGGGTTGCCTTTTCATTCTATCATCTGTGTCCTTTGAGGCATAGAAGTTTCAGTTTTGATGAAGTTCAATTTATTTATTTTTTCTTTTGTTGTCTGTGCTTTTGGTGTCCTATCCAAGAAATCATTACCAAATCTAATATCATAGAGCTTTTTCTCTATTTTCTTCTAAGTTTTATTGTTTTAGCTCATCTTTTGGTCTTGGATCCATTTTGAGCTAATTTTTGTATATGGCATAAGGTAAAGGTCCAACTTCATTCTTTTGTAGGCGGGTATCTAATGCAAAATACCCAACATCATTTGTTGAAGCGGCTATGTTTTTCTCACTGAATGGTCTTGGCACCATTATTGAAAATTATTTGACCATATATATTAAGGTTTTTTTCTGGATTGCCTATTTCTTTGGTTTATATGTCTTTATACTACTACTACACTGTTTTGATTACTATAGCTTTGCAGTAAATTCTGAAATCATGACATGTGAGACCTCCAAGTTTATTCTTCTTTTTCAAGATTGTTTTGGTTATTTGGGGTCTCTTGACATTCCATATGAATTTAGGACAAAGAAACTAACAGGTATTGAGAATATATTGTCTCCTAAGTATTGTTGGTAATACAAATAGAAGGTAGGGGAAAAGTAAACTTTGTTCTCTAAAAGTATGGTTTTGTAAGAAAAGATGTAACAAACATAAAGCAAAAGTGGACAGGTGCTTTATACATTTTATTATGAGAAAAGGGAAAAGAGGAGAACTTTCAGACAACTTAGAAAGAAAAGTTATGTTGGAGTCATTTATTTATAGGTTGATAAAACTGTCACAATGTTTTTCCTGAATGTAGAGAAGTAAATCATGCTAAAATAGCCAACACTTGATTCCTGGTTCTTCCTTTCTCCCTCATTCTTAGCCTATTGGCTCATGGCTATCCATGATGACATCTAATTCACTGAACAAATATTACTGAGTACCTATCATGTGCTAGATACTGGGGTACAGTGAGCAAAACAGACCTAGTCTGGCTCATGGAGGCTATACCTACAGTGGGAGACAGACGTCAGATACTAGTATCAGTCTGTGTATGACTAGTTACTGATAACTGCACTGAAGTTAAAGTTCAGAAAACTATAAGAGCATATAATAGGGGGAACCAACCCAGCTGGGAGAGGAAGTGTCAGAGAAGGCTTTCCTGAGAATGACATTTGAGCTGAGATGCAAAAGATGAATAGGAGCAGGTTTGGTGAAGGAGGCTGGAGGGAAGTGTTCCAGGCAGAGGGGAACAGCGTGAGCTAAAACAGATGAACATAATCTACTCTTAATATCAAAACAAATAAGTAGCGAAGTAAGCATTGCCCTTCAAATGGATTCTCTGGTTCCAGAAGTTGCCCAGAACCCAGGAAAGTTGAAGAATGCATTAACTTAAAGTACTCAAAAATGTTGTTATATGTGTGATTTAAACAGAAACATGTTGTTGTTGCTGTCATTTGTATGAATGCCACAGAAAGGTTTAGATAGAAACTGTCCATGGTGCCGCAGCTTACTTAGCATCACATGGACTCATGAACTTGCTACAAGGAAAGTACAGCCAGACTGATGAATGAGGTTCAGTGTACTGATTCACGGTCTTTTTCAGCACGATCTTCTTCTTCACGGGTAGCTGATACCATAGCCTTTCCAGCTCTGTGAGTGTCTCATAGTTTGTATTTCTAGCAATAATCATTAAAAACATTGAGTATATCATGATTGGTTTAAATATCCATAGCTATTTTATTAGTATTAGAAGAACAGAAATGACTGTTCAAAATGGGTCAGTGGTTAAGTTCCTTGTAGTCATCAACTCAATGGACTATTATACAAACATTAAAAATGGTAACTTTGACCCCAAAAAATGTAAACTTGGAAAAATTTTTGTTTTTAAAAAGATTTGTTTTTAAAATCAAGAATTTGCTTGGAGACAAAAGAATAAATACCCACACAATATTTCTAAGCTTAACCAACAGCATTTTGAGACCCTTAATGGAAATAATTCATTATCAATTATGTGACCAAACCATTAATTATGTGACCTCCCATTGGGAGGCTGAGGTGGAAGGATTGCCTGAGCCCTGGAAGTCAAGGCTGTGATGAGCTGTGATTGTGCCACTGCACTCTTGCCTGTGTGACAGAGTGAGACCTCGACTCAAACAACAACAACATACGTGTGTGTGTGTGTGTGTGTGTGTGTGTGTGTGTGTGTGTGTGTATCTCTTTCTCTTATAACATTTACTATCTTTACCATTTCTAAGTGTAAAGCTCAGTAGTGTTAAGTATAATCACATTGTTGTGCAGTGGATCTTCCAAACTTTTTCATCTTGCAAACTGAAACTCTATACCCATCAAAAAA